CACTCTCTCTCTCTCTCTCTCAAATAAGTAAAAAAAAAATAAATAAAGACGGGCTTAACAATAAGACTAGGCCCAAGCTGGCCTGGAGGCAGAGGCTGGGCAAACACAGGGAGGGCTCTGTACAGCCCCTGCCCAGCTCCTGCCCCTGCCAGCCTGGGCAGGGAGGGCACCAAGCCACACGAGGGCTGTCTGTGAGCAGAAGCCAGGGCTGCCAACCCCTGCCCAGCGTGCCTCCCCGAGAGGAAGAAACAGAGGGGCTGGGAGGCAGAGCCCAGGGGCCGGCACAGGCACACACGGTCCGAGACCTGGGCTCCCAGGCTCCCTCCTCTCCCCTCCCTCCTCTCCCCTTCTGTTCCTCTCTCCCTCCCGAATGTGCTGGGGCTTGGGCTCTCCAGGAGGGCAAGGGAGCTGAGCCCACATGCAGGGAAAGCAGCAGCAGCTCGGTAGCCTGGGGCCTCTGCGAGCCCAGCCTGGGGACCCCAGGACCCCAGGGCACAGCAGGGCACTGGGATAGGCTCATCCCAAAGTACTGGGGACAGGGGACAGGGAGATGGCTCAGTGGAATAAGCGCTTCCCTGGCAAGCGCAAGGGCCTGAGTTCAATTCCTGGTTCTGAAAAAAAAAAAAAAAAAAAAAAAAAAAAAAAAAAAAAAAAAAAGCAACCAAAGTACTGGGGACAGAGCTTCCAGGACTTTAGGACAAGGCCCTCTCTGATGACCACCAGGACAAAATGCCTAAATCCCTGTCTGGGTGACCACCCACGCTGGGTCTACCCTAGGTGGACCAGGTGTCAACAGGAAAGACGTGAGCACAGCGGAAGCTGGGCGTCCTGCTGGCACCAGCCTCAGCTGAGGCGGGTAGAGGCCAAGTCCCATCCAGCTGCTCCGACCGTTACCAGCTGCCGGGCTGCCCAGCCCTCATCCTGCCTACCAGCTCTGTAAGAAGGGCCAGGCCTGGGCAGAAAAGACATGAGGGATGGAACCTGAGCCCCTTGCTTTGCTGACTGGGCCCCCAAAGGGTATAAGGACCCCAGGGTGGTCCAGAGGTACCGGCTCACAGGCCTTGGGAAATGGCGAGCAGAGCCGGCCGTGGGAAGGCGCGGGCAAGGCGCGGGGCGGGGCAGGAGTCAAAGGAGTGCTTGTTCCACTGAGAGGCTTTTTGTTGTCCAAAGCTGGCCTCCAACTGTCCCCTGGAAGCTTAGGGCAAGTCTGCTGTAAGTGCCTCCCCACCAGCAGCCTGGGACTCAAGACTGGGGCCATTTCCGGGGACCCTCACCCCCACCCCACATTCTCCAGGAAGAACCAAGCTCCAGGCGCTACAGACCAAACTGCTAGCGCAAGCGCAAGCCCCCTGCCCTGCTGGTGATAAAAATCACCAAAAACAGACACAGAAGCACGGCAGCAGCAGGGGAGAAGGAAAGGGTCGGGTGCCCAGAATGGCCCCCCAGGCGTGAGCCTGAGGCCACCCAGAGAGCAGCAGGCAGAGGGCAGAGGAGGGGAGAAAGGCGGGGAACTGGGGTCAGCAGGGAGGTGGCCTGGCCCGAGGGAGGTGGGGGGGCCAGATGTGCACCAGATGTGGGGGGGCGGAGGAGGAGGGGGTCTGGGGAGGGCAGCAGCCACATCCGGTCTAGGCCCATTGGACCCACACATCCCCCACCGGGTTGGCAGCCGACACAGGGCCCTGCGTGGGCGGTGCCACCCGCATCCCTGCCCGCCACACCCAAGATCAGCCGCTGCCTGTCACTTCATGGCAGAGACCACCCACGTGCCCAGGCCATCTGGAGTCAGGGCCTTGGAAAACACAGGCCCCATGGACCCCTTACCAGGAAAGCGGGGAGGTCGAGGCACAGGGAGGCCTGAGCACGCATGCGCACGCACGCACGCGCACGCGCGCGCACACACGGTTCTCTCTTCCAACCCTGCTCCCTCAGAAAACACCTGATCACATGGATGAAGGGAGCCCTGTGGCTGGTGGGGACTCAGGAGAACAGGCCTGAGGCCCTGCCAAGCCAGCGGGGCACAGGCCGAGGGCTGCTGGGAACGCAGTCCTCTCTCAATGCTAGGGCCCCATGGTGCAGGCCAAGGGGGTGTCTTACCTCGGAACTTCTTGGGGGGGTTGTCCAGGTCCCCAGCTGCAGGCTCCACCACACAGCGGTCGTCCACCAGCCTGGAGACAGGACAGCTGGGTCAGTGGGAGAAAAGGGGTCGAAGCCCACAGTGCCCCTTCTCGAGTGCGGCCCTCCTTCCATGGTGGACACCACCCCCACCACCACTAGCACACCATCCTCCTTCCTGGCACCTGGTAAGGTCTCAGCCAGGCACCGTGGGCCACACCAACAATCCTAGCTCTTGGGAGGCTGAGGCAGGAGGATTGCAAGTCTAGAGCCCAGCCTAGGCAGCTAAGAGACTTAGGGAGATGTTTCTGCATAAAGGGGAGGGGTGTGAGATGGGGCTCGAAGGATGGCTCCAGCCCACAAAAGAGGAGGCAGCAGGGTGTCTTGGGATGGGAAGGGCACAAGCACCGCGCTCTTCTCCGACCAACGGTGGCAGCAGGCATCCTGTGAGGCGCCCGTCCCCACGCCTGCCTGAGACCCTACTGCCCCACGCAAGGCGATAGGAAGAGGGACAAGGAGGCAAAGGCAAAGGAAGACAGGGAGGAAGGGAGAGAAGGAAGGAAAATAAATAGGGTCAGGAAGATCCAAAAAATACACAAGGGGCTGGGGAGATAGCTCAGTGGCATAAGCGCCTGCCTGGCCAGCTCAAGGTCCTGAGTTCGACCCCCAATGCCAAAAATAAAAATTAAAATAAAATAAACAAGAGCAGCAAGAAACTGGAGACAAGAGGAGCTGCCGAGAGACCAAGCTAAGGGCTGGGCTATGGGTCCCCTAACTGGGCAGACCGTGAGCTCCCAGGCTCGGGCCCCTCCACCCCTCTCCTCTTGGGCCCATCCCAGTGCCCAAGATTTCCGATACAACTGTGGCTGAGGGGAATCTTGTCTCTGCAGGGCTGGCCTCCATCCACCTGCCCACCTATCCCTCTACCCACCTCTCCCTCCACCCACCCCTCCTCCCAGCCATCCCTCCCTCCATCCTTTCATCCAGTCATCTCTCCATCCACCTGCCCAGCCAGCCCTCCATTCTCCCCTCTACCCACTGTCCAGCTCTCCATCCATCCCTCCATCTATCCTCCCTCCACTCCTACATCTCTCAATCGCTATCCCTTCATCCACTCATCTTTCCATCTAACCCTCCATCCGTCCCTGCTCCCTCCACCCACTGTCCATTCCTCCATCCCCCATCCCTCCATCCATCCCCCCACCCATCCATCCATCTCTCTGTCCACCCACCCATCCTTTCATCCATCTAAACCATTCATCCACCCAGTTCCTACATTTAGAATTCCTCAATACCATCCCACTACCCAGAAGGAAGGGACAATCATCCACCATCTCCAAGACCAACTTGCCTGGCATGGTGGCCCATGCCTATAACCTCAGCACCCAGGAGGCTGAGGCAGGAGGACTGCTGTGAGTTTAAAGTCAGCCTGAGCGACATAGTGAAACCTTGTCTCCAAAAAATAAAACAAGGTAGTGCATGCCTGTAATCTCAGCACCCAGGAGGCTGTGGCAGGAGGATCATTTCAAGTTCAAGACCAGTTTGAGCTACAAAGTAAACTCGAGGCCAGTCTGAGCTGCATAGTGAAACCCTGTCTCAAAAAAGACAAAAAAAAAAAAAAAAAAAAAAAAAAGCCATCTCTAATTAGCACTTCACGCCCGTGGCCTCTGCTCTCAGCAACTTCCTAGCGAGTGAGGGGCTGGTCACTCCCACCCTCGTACAGGGGGGCAAACTGAGACTGACCATGAAGTAACTGCTCTAAAGCCGCGGAGCTGATGGCCACGTCTTTGTTCCCTTACACCTCCCCGCCTGGCGGCCCAGGAGGCCCTTCTGTGCACTGGCCTCTCGCCTCGCCCCAGCCAGCCTCAGCCTCCCGACCAGCTGACCCCACGGCCCCTGGGCGCTGTCCCTGGGCGCTCTCCCAGCCGGAGGCAGTCGGGCGGGCGGCCCTCCCACCCGGCCTGCAGCCTCCTTCCCCCGGGCTTGCGCTCCGAGGCTCTGTAACAGCGCTCCGCACCCCAAGGTCCCCCCAGCCCCTGCTCCTGGCCTCTTCCCTTTGTTCTCCTTGGGACTTTTTTAATGATTACATTCACTGTGGGGAATTGGTATGTGTACAGAACACTGCTCAGTGCTTTTAATTCTTTTTATTTCCCTTTCCCCTCCACCCATTTTTCTTTAATTTTTAAACATGTTTCCCAGGATCAGGTTTATTTATTTTAAAATCTTTATCAAGCGAATGGTCAAAAGCACAGATTAACAGCCACACTAACAGGCCAAAAAGCATATAAACACATAAAACAATTATACTAAATCGAGGTGCACTTTTGGGTACACTGACCACGTTGGTTGACGATAACTGTCTTTCTCTGTCTCTTCTGCAGTTCAGGCTGGCCTTGAGCTCACTTTGTAGCCCAGGCTGGTCTCGAACTCACAAAGATCCCCCTGCCTCAACCTCCCAAATGCTGGGATTACGAGCCTGCACCACCATGATGGGCAATCTTTAAGAAACCATGCAATATTTAAGTTGTGTGACTGATTTACTGAACACTGGTCTCAGGGTGCATCCATTTTCCTATAAACGCCTCATGTTTATCCTTCTTTACGGCCGTGTAGTACTCCTCTGTGTACAAATACATTCTCTTCATTGCTCTGTGAGGGACATACAGGCTCCTGTCCACACAGGCACGCACGTCTCACTGTAATCCGATGTCTTTAACCCTTTGGGGGAGATACCTAGAAGGGGGAATAGCTGAGTCAAATGGAATTTCTCTTTCTAGTTTTTTAGAACTCTCCATGCCGATTTCCATAGGCTGGTCCAGCCAGCAGTGCAGAAGGGCTCCCCCGGCACACAGCCTCACCAGGATTGGTTACTGATTTCTTGATGAGGGCCGGCCAGCCGGCCTTTCTGGAGTAAGCTGGAATCTCAGAGTTGTTTTAATTTGCGTTTCTTAGTCACCCGGCCCCTCTTCCTGCATCAACACTTGCCGTGCCGGGACCTGCGTTTCTCCACTCGGAATCTCCGCACAACACAGCCTGGTGACACAGCGGTATCACCAAAATCGGCTACTCAGGTTCCATCCGCGTTCTCAGCCCGAGCTCCTGAGACCCGGCCGCTTCCCCAGTGACGGGAGAGGTGAGGGCAGCTCCTAATACCTGGATTGCTGTTTGAGTTTCTTTCTTTTTTTTGCAGAAACAAGGGGTTGGGAGACAGCTCGGTGGCCCAAGTGCCGGTCTGAGTTTCTGAAGCAGCCCAGGGCCATCAAAAGAAGCAGAAACACACAGACTCTATTCCTACCGGCCCCCTTCAGCCACACTGAACTTGCGGTCATGAAGCCACTTTCTTTCGGAAAGCCCCTAGGGTGGGGGCGGGGCTGGCTGCCAGGAGACAGAACCCAACCGGCCATTAGAGGTGGAGATCAGGCCCTGCCCTCCCGCTTCTGGAGGGACCTGGCGGTTGGTCACCCACGTGATGTCACCCATCTCACTTCCAGGATGGGGATCTGAGCTGGTGACCACGGCGGCCACAGAAGCCCCACACCCTTCACCCACAGCTCACTCGATGCCTCGCTTCCTTCCAGCTCATCCGGGTTGCACCCTCTTACGATGCAGCAGTGATTTCCTCTGCAGACGATTTTCCTGACTTGCATCCAAGTCACCAGACATGGAGAGGGCATCATGGGGACCCTGGACTCTGAGCTGGCAGAGAGGATGGCTTGTGGGATTAAGCGGAGGTTGGTCACGCCGTGGGGGCCGAGGCTGCTCCAGGCAGGCAGGGCCGGGAATGGCCGAACTGTAGGACCCGGCTGGAGACCACCTGGTGCTTCCCCTATCTAATCCTCTTCATCTCCGCTGTGTCACTTTCCAGGCAGGGGACCCGGGGCATGAAGAGATTAGGCAATCGCAGAGCTGGAATGTAAAGCCACCCTGTGCAGCAGCCTCCAGGGCTGCCTGGACCGCAAAGTGCGGGGGAGATGGCGCGTGGCGGCGCCCGCTTCTGAACCCAGCGCTCGGAGGCTGGAGCCCAAGGATCCTGAAGTCGAGGCCGAACTAGGCCTCACAGAGTTTAAAACCAGCCTGTACTGCATAGTAAGATGCACAGGGAGGCCCTGCCTCAAAACAAAAATAAACATGGAAGTGTGCAGAGTCTGGTCTCCTCTTCCCTCAAAACTGTACATGCGTCCGGGGTCATCCTGGCCACACACACGGGCTCAGCAGAGCAGCCGACCCAGTCCCCTCTCAGCCCCGCAGTCTGAGCTCTCCCCATGGGACAGTGGGGCTGGGGTCCCAGGGTCTCAAACGCAGCCCATTTCCCCTGGAGCTTGCACAGACCGTGTCCAACAAGGTGCAAAAAGTCCGACCAGAGCCACCCATCAGTGTCAAACCAGAGCTCACCGAAAGCCGTGCGGGGCCCTGCCGGCACCGGCACCACAGCACCCCCCACCCTGCAGGCGCCCCCTCCTCGACCTTTACAACCGAGAGGCCTTCACTGCCCTGCCTGCCTTCCCGGTGTCGCTCCGCAGCATCTGACCACTGAGCTATCTCCGCAGGCCTTGATTCCGTTTATTGTCCCTCGCTCCCACCCAGAGGGCTGGAAGTTCCACAAGGACATGGATGTGTTTTTGTTTTGTTTTGGTTTATTTTTACAGTGCTGGGCACGGAACCCAGAGTCTTGTGCGTGCTAGGTAAGCACTCTGCTACTGGGCCAGTTTATTTATTTATTTTAAATTTATTTATTTAGGGCTGGTGAGATGGCTCAGTGGTCTAAAGCACCTACTTACAACAAGCTAAGCAAAAGCACAGCGACCGCGGTTCAATCCCCAGCACCACATGCCAGCCAGCCCCGCCCCCTGGTGGGCTGAGCTGGCCACACACACACACACACACACACACTAAATAAATAAATAAATATTTTAAAAAAATAAATAAATTTATTTATTTATTTATTTATTTAGTGTGTGTGTGTGTGTGTGTGTGTGTGTGTGTGTGGCCAGCTCAGCCCACCAGGGGGCGGGCTGGCTGGCATGTGGTGCTGGGGATTGAACCGCGGTCGCTG